AAAGGGAAAAATACTTCTAGACCCAAGGCTACTGAAAAGGTGGGAAAGCACTGTTGCACTCTATATGCAACAAAGAACATTTCAAGTTATGGTCTGTTCATTGTGTAATCCCGTTTTTATCATCATAGAAATATACATGGTTATTTATTGGTTATATTTTCAATCCAACTTTGTGTACAAATGTCTTGGCAGTCCTATTCCTGTAATTTAGTGTTGAAGTTTTAGATTTGTTTTAAATCTGTTAGATGTGTCTTGGGTCTGATTACACTGAGAATCTCCTGCAGAGTGCTTTCATCCACACACACACGCACATAAAGCACTAACATGTTCTTCTCTGCGGTCTCTCCTTCCTGTCACTCCTTTCACTTTCCACTCACCTTCACTCCTCTCTTCACCACCCCTCCTCTCCTCTCCTTGTCTTTTGGTGCAGATCTTCGTAATAGCTCAGAATCTCATACAAAGTTATAAAAGACAGGGGAAATGCTTTTTTTACTCCTCATTGGTTTTGAGGGCTATTTGTCCTAGTATTTCTGTCAGAGAATAACTCTTAAAAGGATAGTTCACCTGAAAATTGACATTTTGTCATCGTTTACTCACCCTCATGTTTACTATAATTCCTTTTAAGTAGGTTAGAAGTGAGGTGGCATGATAGGAAGTGATGTCGTCACTTTAGAGAGTTACTTCCTATGTTGACAATAGTAAGAAGACTACTCTCAGGCCCTTCCTCCCTCTCTTCCTTTAGTGGCTTCTCCAGACCGTCCAATGTAGCTCCTACTCGCGTGGTGCTGCTCTCTACCTCCTTCTCTACTCTTCCTCCTCCTCCTCTTCCTCCCTCCACGCAGCTGTCTCCCAGGTACAGGCATGCCTGCGTTTCTCCACTAACCCTCCTACCTTGCTGCTGCCTTTCTCTTCATCTTCCTTCCTCTCGTTTGTCCCGTCTGTCTCGCCACTCCATTTCCTAACAGAGGCCATGTTTACTCCTGGTATTAACATCTTTAACAGGCGGTCAGCTGAGACTGATTGCATGACCATTTTGTTATTTTGAGGGTAAGTTCTCAAAATGTAGTTTTTTAGAGTCAAAGAGTTGCCACATGAACATGATCTGTCTCACTGTATATTGATGTCAGGCAAAACAGATGTTCTGAGGACTTTGTATGGGACTTTTCCATTTAATTTGATCAAACATTTTCAATAGCTAGATGGATGTGGATGGTCTCCACTGTCAGATCAGGATGGATTACTGTTTACATGTACAAGTTAAGCAACCATAATCTTAGGAAAGTGATATGTAATTAAACATATTATTTAAAAATCATAATATTATTATTAATAAAATTATATTAATGTATTATTATTGCTAATTCAGTGTAATGAAAATGAATGAGAACTGTCAAACTCAGAAAATTACCATAAAAATTGTCCATCTAACTCTTGTTTTTCTTAATATAATTATTATTATTATTATTATATTTTAGCAACTTACAGTACATTGCATTTAAGTTTTTTTATTTAATGTACACATTTTTGTACTTAATTTACTTACAGTAAAAGTGTAAAGTGACCCTGAGCTTAGGAAAGGTAATACAGTAATTTTAATAATAATAATATGAATGCATCATATTATTATTTTTATGCAATTGGCAGATCTTTTATCCAAAGCCGCTTGCATTACATTAAAGGTATACATTTTGTCAGTTCATGCATTTCCGGGAAGTCAAACCCATGATCTTGCGTTGCTAGCGCCATGCTGTACTTTGAGTATCAAAAAAAAGAATAATTTGGACCTTGTTTACACCTGTATTAATTGCCATCCAACAGATGTGAGGTGTAAACATGGTCAGAGAGCTGAAGTCCCAGCTGTCTGTGTGTAGTCTCTCCTACCTGCATGTTTCTTTCTACTCAGCTTTTTAGAGTAGATTGTGAATGTTCTAATCAGATGCTTGCCAGCACACAAACACAAAAGTTGAAAGTCTGTTTGGTGTGCGTCTTCTTTCTTCTCAAACAACAGCACACGCGCTAGCAAATAACCTGAAGTCTCCAAAATCTTGTCAGAGTCTCCTTTTGAGTGCTTTTCCACCCCTGCTGTGCGTGTGTGTGTGTCTCTATTCTCTAATCCCTCCCGTGGTGCATGTCTTTCCCCAATGTCTCCGTGTCACACTAATCCACAACGTAAAATCGCCCAAATGCCATCAGATCCTGTGGCGGCCTGATTCTTCTCGCACTCATGCTATGACTATGTCAGAGCAGTGGTTCACCAGGAAATCTCTACATTTACACACCGTGGACTACAGGAGATAAAACCTCATGCATACTTTTAAACCAATGATTTTAACCGAAAGTGTTGTAGTTTTTAACCTCAAAGCAGTCTTAAAGGGATAGTTCACCTCAAAATGAAAATTATCACTTAATTATGACTTCTGTGCAATCCTAGCCATTCTTTTCAGTGTTATGAATGTGAATGAGGACTGTCAAACTCAGAAAATTACATAAAAGCGCCATAAAAGTGGTCCATATGATGCTTGTTTGGTCTTCTGATGCAATATGATTGTATGAGGAACAGATAAACCTTTTAAGTTGCTATTCACCGACAATTTAGCACATTCATTAATGTTTAAAGTGAAGTAGCAATGATTCGATCATGAATCAGACATTTAGATCTTTTCATTGAATTGCTTGACAAAAGCTGTCTTAATGATTTATTTTTCTGAATCAACTTACTGGAGGGAACAATTGTTTGTAAATTAAGATTTCAATTTGGTCTGTTTCTTACACAAACCTATAATATGACTTCAAAAGACCTAAAATGTACAGGTGCATCTCAATAAATTAGAATGTCGTGGAAAAGTTCATTTATTTCAGTAATTCAACTCAAATTGTGAAACTCGTGTATTAAATCAATTCAATGCACACAGACTGAAGTAGTTTAAGTCTTTGGTTCTTTTAATTGTGATGATTTTGGCTCACATTTAACAAAAACCAATAAAATAAAACCAATAAAAAAAACATTTTTAGTGAAATGTTGGCCTTCTGGAAAGTATGTTCATTTACTGTACATGCACTCAATACTTGGTAGGGGCTCCTTTTGCATGAATTACTGCATCAATGCATCGTGGCATGGAGGCGATCAGTTTGTGGCACTGCTCAGGTGTAATGGAAGCCCAGGTTGCTTTGATAGCGGCCTTCAGGTCATCTGCATTGGGTGACATGCCAATCAGCTAATCAACTCAAAACACCTGCAAAGGTTTCCTGAGCCTTCAAAATGGTCTCTCAGTTTGGTTCACTAGGCTATACAATCATGGGGAAGACTGCTGATCTGACAGTTGTCCAGAAGACAATCATTGACACCCTTCACAAGGAGGGTAAGCCACAAACATTCATTGTCAAAGAAGCTGGCTGTTCACAGAGTGCTGTATCCAAGTATGTTAACAGAAAGTTGAGTGGAAGGAAAAAGATGCACAACCAACCGAGAGAACCGCAGCCTTATGAGGATTGTCAAGCAAAATCGATTCAAGAATTTGAGTGAACTTCACAAGGAATGGACTGAGGCTGGGGTCAAGGCATCAAGAGCCACCACACACAGACGTGTCAAGGAATTTGGCTACAGTTGTCGTATTCCTTTTGTTAAGCCACTCCTGAACCACAGACAACGTCAGAGGCGTCTTACCTGGGCTAAGGAGAAGAAGAACTGGACTGTTGCCCAGTGGTCCAAAGTCCTTTTTTCAGATGAGAGCAAGTTTTGTATTTCATTTGGAAACCAAGGTCCTAGAGTCTGGAGGAAGGGTGGAGAAGCTCATAGCCCAAGTTGCTTGAAGTCCAGTGTTAAGTTTCCACAGTCTGTGATGATTTGGGGTGCAATGTCATCTGCTGGTGTTGGTCCATTGTGTTTTTTGAAAACCAACGTCACTGCACCCGTTTACCAAGAAATTTTGGAGCACTTCATGTTTCCTTCTGCTGACCAGCTTTTTGAAGATGCTGATTTCATTTTCCAGCAGGATTTGGCACCTGCTCACACTGCCAAAAGCACCAAAAGTTGGTTAAATGACCATGGTGTTGGTGTGCTTGACTGGCCAGCAAACTCACCAGACCTGAACCCCATAGAGAATCTATGGGGTATTGTCAAGAGGAAAATGAGAAACAAGAGATCAAAAAATGCAGATGAGCTGAAGGCCGCTGTCAAAGAAACCTGGGCTTCCATACCACCTCAGTAGTGCCACAAACTGATCACCTCCATGCTACGCCGAATTGAGGCAGTAATTAAAGCAGAAGGAGACCCTACCAAGTTATTGAGTACATGTACAGTAAATGAACATACTTTCCAGATTGCCAACAATTCACTAAAAATGTTTTTTTTATTGGTCTTATGGAGTATTCTAATTTGTTGAGATAGTGAGTTGGTGGGTTTTTGTTAAATGTGAGCCAAAATCATCACAATTAAAAGAACCAAAGACTTAAACTACTTCAGTCTGTGTGCACTGAATTGATTTAATACACGAGTTTCACAATTTGAGTTGAATTACTGAAATAAATGAACTTTTCCACGACATTCTAATTTATTGAGATGCACCTGTAGTTCATGAGTTATACAGACCACTTTTATGGTGTTTTTATGGACTTAATCTTTAAAATGTATCTTTAAAGCATTTAAAATTACTCCATTTGTAAAGAACGTCATGACAGATTGTTCATTATTGGGTGGACTAATTCTTTAAACAAACTATTTTGATTAAAAATAATAAGAACTTTTTCATCTCAAGGGAAATACAAAATTGTTATCTTAAGCAAGTTCACTCAGTTGCATTTTTGTTTAGACTGGCGATACAGACATGTTCGTAAATAACTTTAATACAGGTTGTCATTTTAAGTGCTGTTTTGTCATTCCTTACAGTCGGTAGCGGCTGTGTGCTGAAATTTTCTTTTCTTTAACGCAAGTTGTTTTATGGTCATTTTATGCTTTGTTTTTAATGGCATGTCATTTTTTGTTGTTGTTTTTTCCCTCGCAGACAGTGTGGCTACAGTAAAGCCAGCCAGGAGGGGGATGAGGAACTCTACTTCCAGTGTGAGTATCACGTTGTGTTTCCGTGCATACATGTGCATTCATTCCACAAATCAACTGGACTGTCAGGTTTATTTCTGAAGGTGGTAATGGATATAGCTTGTCAGAGGATGAGAGCTGAGGTGGAAGAGAAAGGGAAAAAACAGACTGGAAAATAGAGTCAATAGAGTTGATCAGTGATAAAGAGAGATTAGGGATGTATAAAGTGGCACTGCATTAACGTCTAAGTCCATGTACGTGCCTTTATACCAGCCAGCCTAATGCTCCAGTCCATTAGCATGTTTCAGACGCCCTCTGAGATGAAAAGAGGGGGGAGGGTGTTACCAGTCTTTGAACAAAGATGCCATATTGCTGCATCCAGTGTTGAAGAATATTGTCAAAGTAATGCATTGAAATGCATACATAAGTTAAGTTACAATTGCACTACGTTTTATTATTGCCAGTTTACTGAGACTCTCTGGTATCAGAACGGAAGCTCTATGGATGGATTGTGATAATATTTTTTACATTGAAAGTTGACAAAGCAGATGTATATTAAGAGTGGTTTCCTGTCTTCTCTTCACTGTTTTTGTTTAAAAAAAAAATGGCAAAAAGCCCCAAAAAATCAAATTAATTCATTTAAAAAAAACAGCTGCACAGTGCTGGTGATGCCCAGTTACTGTATCTCTCTTTCTCTGCCGTTTTTCCTCAAACCTTTCTAAACTCTAGCCAGATGTTAGCATTCTGTTTCACGTGAGCTAATATTCGTGTGTGTGTGTGTGTGTGTGTGTGCGTGTGCGTGTGATGTGTGAGTAATGAGTGTCTGTGCAGAGCAGTCATGCAGATGGGGCATTAAATCTGCTGAAACAATGAACACTGGCGAGCTTCACACACTTTTGAGCTGGTTTGTGCCAAGTCTGTCTCACAGCATATCTGTACAGTATATAAAACTTATATTTGCATGTATTCATTAACCTCTTATACTCTGATCTATAGTATTTAACTTGTAAATATGCACATTATGCCAGGATGGACACTTGTACAGGAGGAAGACTGCCATGAGGATGTATGGAGGAGACACAGATTTGTTTAAATCTTTCATGTTTCATGTGATAAATATATATATTTTTGTAAATAACACTTTTCTCTTTATTGAAGCCAGATTTCGGTAACACTTTATTTTAGGGTCTCTTAACTAGTTGCTTATTAGCATGCATATTACTATTAGCCATGTATTAGTACTAATAAATTAGCTAGCCATGTATTAGTACTAATTAATTAGTATTAGTATATTAGCCATGTATTAGTACTAATTAAGCACATATTAATCCCTAATCCCCAATACCTAAATTTAACAACTACCTTACTAACTATTAATAAGCAGCAAATTAGGGATTTACTGAGGGAAAAGTCGTAGTTAATAGTGAATAAGTGTTCCCTATTCTAAAGGGTTACCCAGATTTCCAAGCAAAACGTGGTGATGTAAGGCTTATTCTTATTCCAGCTACAATTAATTATTTAGTAAGACTATATATAAACATATAAACGTCATATAGACTAGATTTTATAAATAAATTTCATATGGATAGACTAGAATTAAACAGTATATGAATAATTAATCGTAAAGAATGCCAAAGAGGGGCAATCATTTGTATATAGTGTATGTATTTGTATATAGGACTATAACCCAGATAAAATCATGATTATGTGTATTTTCATTCATCTTAACTGTTATTATATACCTGTTTTTATGTAATTAATTTATGTGCTGCTCCTTTAAGGACAGGTATGTTTTTAGCCAATCAGCATTAATTGCTGGTTTTGGCTCCATGATGTCTTAAAAGAGCAGCACAAAAATAAATGAAATTAAACAAGTATATAATACAAGAATTAGAACAAAAACAAATGTAACATGCAAATGAATGGAAACACACTAAAAGGTGTTCTATCTGGGTTACATAACACAATCTTGTGCTTTCTGGAAACTAGGCCAAATGTTCACTGTTCAAGGAAGAATTTAAGGAATCCCTCAGATCCTTCACCTTCCAGCAAAAGAACAAAAAATTTCAAACAAGAACCATTCATTGAAAACAACGAGAGGAGTACAAATAGTATAAAAAGAGTATAAATTCAGATTTTCCTTAAAAATTACCACGAGCACAATTCTCTGTCACGCAGTCTCATACTGAATCATTTCCCACATGTTTCACAAATTATATCCCATCAGCATCATCAGATATTCTCTCGCTCTCGTTTCGCCCTGGGCACAGTTCTGGTGACCCATCGTGCGTGATCTCTGTGTCTCCCACCGTCATTTGTTTTACAGGTTTGTTTGTCTATCTGTTATACAACTAGCCCTATAAGCACACTCTCTTTTCACCCTGCATGCGTGTTCTGTTTGTTTTATATGCATATTTTTGGATGACCTAGAAACAATGGTAGGGATCAGTGCTTTAGCTGTCATTATGAAATCACTGAGGCCTACTTTGTTTGTGTGTGTATGTAGAACCAGCAGCTGTGAATTTAATGCTTTAGATATGCAAACGTATATGCATATACATGGTTTGTGGTTGTTAGTGTATGGGGATTTACATAGCTACTGTATACATTTGGGACACAATTGTCCACAGAACTAAATCTGACAAGGCATTTCTTTGGGGAACGTCTTCAAAGGTAAAAAAGGATTATTTAAGTGTATAAATAAAATGTGTATGCAAATACATACTTCTATTTAATTTTTTCCCCCATGTAGTATTTCTTTGATTTTGTTCATATTATGTTCATATTACTTATAATGAATGTTGTTCACATTTAGATAACTATGTGAAGTGTTTGTGTGCCTGGCTGTTTGGGGATCTGGGTATTTTTGTTCAAAAACGTCTTTATAGACTTAATTATAGTCTAAATGACTTAAGTGTAAACTTATCTATATGTGAAATTGTGTGCATTCTTTCACTTTATGGTTCTTATCCGAGTGGCAGGCTTATTGTAGTTTTGTACATTTCATTATTTTTTATTTAATTTTAGTTCAAGTTGGTTTTAACAGTTTAGATTTTATTTTTGCTATTATTTAAAATTTGGTTTCAGTATATTTTATATCTTAAACAACAATACAAATCTTCCTATAATGAGACATATATACAGAGGTACTTTTCAGAAACTGCATCATGCATAAATAACGGCACCATTTTTATAATTTACAACAACTCAGCATACTGCAGTACTTGTGGACAATCAGATGTACTATAATTGTGTAATTTCTTCTACGTTGTTACAGCCTCTACTCTACTGTAAATGCAGTAATTCTGCAGTAATTTATCTACCATCGCACTGGTGTCTTCAGGGCATTTTTGGATTCAGCAGCTTGGACTGGACTCACTAAGATCTTGTTTCGGTCTATGAGGACCCTTGTCGTACAACAACTACTTTGTCAAAGTTTGTAAAGTTCGTGACATTGAAATATATTCATGAGTTTTTGAGACCATTTGGATCAACTTAACAGGACTTTCTTTCACACTGCTTTTGCAACATTTCCCAAGGAACACAGCAGCATTATATGATGTAACCACTTTGCACAGTTTTTTGCTGTTGTTGTTGTAGTGGTGTCATCATTTTCAGATTTAACTGGCAGAATACAGCGTCAGAGTCAGTGTAAACCGCACTCTCATGATGGAATGGAGCACCTTTAATTTGCTTTGTAATTGTATTCTTAAGTATGGGTGTATGTATGTGAGCTTCAGATCAATAAGCTGTTATGAGACTGTGAAGTTGAGACCCTGGTCTGCTTTGGGTCGATGCTGACTTGTAAGCACATTTCAGAGTAAGACTGCCGCACTGCCTTTGAGTAGATGAAGCATGACATAATGCATGGATACAGTAAAAGAATACAGCATCAAAATAATAAAACAGTGTTTTTAATTTTTATATCTGGTGATCTTTTTGTGGATTTTCATTTTAAATATAAATTTAAAATGAATAAATCTTCGTTAGCAACATGTATAAGTATACTGCAATATAAACACTATGTTACTGTATTATATAACTAGATAGTACATGTTCAGTTACATTTTCTCATGCTTGTCCAAAACTCAATGCCATGATGTGTTCTAGCTGGTTGCCAGGGGGTTGCTTTTTGGTTGCTAAGGTGATTACTCACTGGCCTACCCACATTTCCTAAAATAGCAAACTATGTGATATTCGCCATGTTGTGAATAGTGAATGAGTTAATGCATCAGCACATTTAGGCACAGTATATGCATGAATGCTTTAAATGCCTCTTGTCGTTTATGTTCTTTCATGCATGTTTTGAGATGTTGTGATGGACATGAGCAGAGGCAAAATTTCCAGTTTTCCATCCTCTCTTTCCACACTGACAGCTACTATCATGTCGTATGAGACAATCAGATCAGATTTCATCACATGCAAAATAACAGTGAGGAGAGTCAAGCTTTGAAAACCAAAATGTATGAACAGAGCATATGATATTCTGATACTTAGAGGTGGCTCAGTGTAAGTCTATTGGAGTTTGTCGCCTATTTCATTGATAATAACAGTGAATCAATCAATATTAATACTGAGTGTAGTACCACCAATTATATATATTTTTGTTTTAATTTTTCAGTTAAAATCCCAACCCGAAGGACCTACATTGACCCAGAAACCTGTGAAGATCTGCTCCAGGCTGTTCATGCCTTTGCCAAAGAGCTGGACATATCTAGCATCAAGATCGAGAGGATAGTCCATACAGGTACCAGATATCAAAACCTCCCTACTTCACTCTGACTTTTACCATTATCCAATTCATATTCCTGCAAATGTATTTTCTTTTTGGGACAGTTTTAAGGTTTTTCAATGCTGTGTGTCAAGATCTATGAAAACCAGTCATTAGTTCCTATCAGAAATTAAGGCTAATCCCATCATTTACTGACCCTCATGTTGTGTTCGAATCCATTTCTTCTTTGGAACACAAAGTATGTTTACTGATAATCTTTGTTCATAAAATTCCAATGAATGAGGACAGGGGCTTTCAATTTTCAAAAAGAAGCAAAAGCACCATAATAGTATCTATGCAAACTAGGCATCACGTTTTCTCAAAAATAAAGGTTCTGTCATCATTTACTGATCCTCATGTTGTGTCCAAACCCCATATGACTCATTATTTTGAAACTAAATTTACAGCTAATGTTAATGTACAAAATGTATCTAATGCTAAAGTAATTTACTGCTAATTTTTCTATAAAATTGCAATGAATGAGGACGGGAGCTTTCAAGCTTCAAAACAGGAAGCAAAAGTACCATAAAGGTATCATAAAGGTGGTCAATATGTCATTTAAGTCATTATTCACAGCATGAGTGCAAGTAAATGGTGTCATAATTTTCATTTTGGGTAACTGTTCCTTTAATGAGAAACAAATAAACATCAAGTGAACCCTTGCCTTCTTCAGGAGACTTTGGCGAGGTGTGTCGAGGTTGCCTGAAGCTTCCCAGCAAACGAGAGTTGCCTGTGGCCATAAAGACCCTTCGTGCGGGCTGCTCGGAAAAACAGAGACGCTCATTCCTCAGCGAGGCAGGAATTCTGGGACAGTTTGATCACGCCAACATTGTGCGTCTGGAGGGAGTCATCACCAGAGGTCAGTAGAGACAAAGAGATTGTACAATGAATAGATGGCAAGGAAGAAAAGAGAGATGTATGGGATGTCCCTCTGTAGAAAATGAAAGCTGTGGGGCGATTGGGACGATTCCTCGCAGGACAGGGAAAGACAAAGAACGAGAGGAATTAGGGATTTGATGGCCCTCACCTGAAAGAGATTCAGGAGGCAGAATAGATTATATGTCCCTCCACTGAAAAAGAAAAAAGGAGGGATGAGCCGGTTGTCCCACTGCAGTAATAGAAAAGAGAATGATAAGCCATTGATTGGACAGTTTATTCGGAAGTGGACCCTTGAATAAATGGGCCGGTCCTCAAAAGCGCAAGAACAGAAAGGGAGAGAAAGGTCGATACTTGCAGGATGGATGATCATCAGAGGTAAAAGATCAAGGACAATGAGGAGCTGTAGATGTTATCACCTCCAGGAAGGACAGAAAGAGGAGAATCGAGCTTAAAAAGGAAAAAAAGGAAAGGAAAGGACGTGACGTGTGGCCAAGTATGGTGACCCATACTTGGAATTTGTGCTCTGCATTTAACCCATCCAAGTGCACACACAGCAGTAAGTAGTGAACATACACGCACACACACACTGTGAACACACACCCGGAGCAGTGGGCAGCCATATTGCTGCAGCGCCTAGGGAGCAGTTGGGGGTTCGGTGCCTTGCTTAAGGGTCTCACCTTAGTCATGGTATTGAAGGTGGAGAGAGCGCTGGTAACAATCCCTGCCGGACTTGAGACTCGAGCCCGTGACCTTCGGGTTATAAGTCCGACTCTCTATCCATTAGGCCACGACTTAAATGAAACTAGTAACTCTCAGTCAACAAGTGTGACAAAGGGAAACTTGGCTCGGGGTGGAGATGTACGGAGAGAGAAGAACAGATCCATCTTTAGATTGATCGATGTGATGTTCCTGGAGATAAAACAGCTAGATGGATTTGCCTAGCGTGTTCTTGCCGAAAGGAATGAGGGATGATGAAGGTGTTGTGAAGACAGGGAAGACCAGAGGGGAAGGCAGATTTGCTGAATTAAAGAACTAGCAGTGCTGATATTAGTCTGGGACTTTGTGTATTAGTGCTGAAGGAATTATTAACGTTTGTGATTTAAGATTGAATCTACATGTAGAAAATGATAGAAATGTGTGCATGAAGAGACATATTAAGAGTGTTGGATTTTGATATGAAGTGGTTCTCAACAACTAAATGCAAAAGCAGCGGAAGTGTGAATCTGTTGTGAATTTGTTTGAGTGCATAATGACAAAAGACCATTATCTATTACGGTTATTCTTCATTCTTTTGCCAGCAATATCATTGCATTTTCTAAAAAAAAAAAATAAATGCATTATTCACTTTTGCAACATTCTGTAATTTCGCAACTCTTAAGTCTACTTCTAAAGTCCAAACTAAAGTGGAAATTTAGTTTTCAGTGACAACTTTCCTCTTTTTATCTGACCCAAAAAATTTTACGTGCGTTTTTGATACTGTACCTTTACAACTACACTGCTGTTCAAAGGTTTGGGGTCAGTAAGATTTTTGCTCACCAAGGCTGCATTTTTTGTTCAAAAATACTGGATAACAATAATATTGTGAAATATTATTAGCAACTCTTAAGTCTACTTCTTGCTACAAAAAGTGGAAATGTAGTTTCAGTGACAACTTTCCTCTTTCTTCTGACCCTTAAAATTAAACATGCACTTTTTTGCTACTGTACCTTTAAAACTTAAGTATGTAAATGACCTCTATGTACACTGCTGTTCAAAAGTTTGGGGTAAGATTTTTAAATGTTTTTGAAAGAGACCTCACCAAGGCTGTGTTTATTTGATAAAAAATACAGTAAAACAGTAATACTGTGAAATATTATTACAACTTAAAGCAGCACTATGTAACTTTTTCTGTGTTCAAAATTTGCAAAATGTATATGCTTTCTGTTTGAATATTTTAAAATGTAATTCATTGCTGTGATGGCAAAGCTTGATCCTTCAGAAATAATTCTAATATGCTGATTATATTATTATTTGATATTATATTATATACTATTATTTGATGAATAGGAAGTTCAAAAGAACAGCCTTTATTTGAAATAAAAATATTTTATAACATTTTTACTCACTTCTGATTAATTTAATGTGTCCTTAAAAGTATTCAGTTCTTATAAATAAATAAATTAATTAATAAATGTACACCCCCAAACTTTTGAACGTTAGTGTATAGTACTGCATAGTTACTGACCCATTTTTGCCACTTCATGAATGGTCTGACTCTGGGTGGTCTGGTGAGCTTTACATTGTGAAAGGTAGAATATGTATATATAGTACATAAATCTCTCTTATTTGAATAGAGGAAAAGAAAAACCCTATTTAAATGCTCCCTTATTTAAATTTATAGTGTGATTTTTTTTAATTTTTATTTTATTTTTTTTATATCAAAACTTAATTGGTTCTTGTTTTTATTGTTTTAAATGAAGAGTAAGAGACCATTTATTCAGTGGTATTTTGAAGAGAAGAATGAATTGGGATTTTGGGATTGAATTAGCCTGTCAAAGTGTGTGTGTGTGTGCAACAGCAGATGTTCATGTTGGAATAATTGGTGGCCAAATCACAGCAAGCCCCCTTAATGACTCTAATCTTTCTCCCTGACTTCTCCTCCTCCACCTGCAAATCTCCGTTTTTTTTTTTCTACCATTTGCCTCCTGAAGGCTACACACCCCTCCTCTTCATCCACCTGTCAGGCCATAGACCTCCACAGCTCTAGTGGCATGGGCTCAGAGCTGAGAGCCCAGTAGGAGGTCTTCTGATTGGGGTTGGTCAGGCATGTCCGCTCCTCCCCGCAGGAGGTGTGATGTAGCTGGGAATGGTAGATTGACCAGACTGATAGTGCAGCCTCCTGTTCATTGGGCTGGTCATTGAATTCTGCAGATTGTTGGTGTCGGTGTACATGATTGAGGGATCTGTCTCTCTCTCTCTTTCTACCTCTCTTCCTTGCTCTCTCTTTTGCTCTAACACCTGGGGATTTACCGCTACCCACCTCCCTAATGGAGCGTACTTCCCTCGTCTTTCTTTGGGTGCTTTGCTTTCTATCACTCACTGTCTAATGCTCACTGGAAATACAGACACAAAGATATTATTACACAGTGCTATTGAATACTTCATTCTGATTGGTCAGCTGCAGTTGCAATTGTCTGTCTGTCAGTTCTTTGTCTATCTATCTAGTTTTTGCTACTATACCTTTAAAACTATTTGGCGTTCTGTCTTCCTATCTATTATTTTAACATTATATCTATGATTTTATCTGTCTACAGTGACTTGCTGACTGTATAATCTCTTACATAACACTTACACTTTTATGAAAATGTGTTTTTGTGCCCTTTGGGCAACCCTACCATGTCCTCTTTCCCTGCTGAAGGATTAAACAAACACATGATCCAATTATTTCTTTAAAGGTTTTTTTTTTTCTTATTGCTGCAGGCAACACTATGATGATTGTGGTGGAGAGCATGGCCAACGGAGCCCTGGACTCTTTCCTGCGGGTAAGAGAACGTATTTTGTGTCTGTTTGTTCTGCTGACTATAATATTCTGAGTCATCAGATGCAAAATGCTGAGATAGTACAGTAAATGGTATATATAAAATATTTAAGTTACATTACAAAACCTGCAGATGTGATTTGTTGATAAAAAGAAAACAATGAGAGGAAAGAGCCAAGTGAGGCATTTTATCTAGTCTCAGAGTCAGATGAAGTGACATTCTTGAAATGAAGTGAAATGATTGTTATTTGTTCCAAGTTCTCATAAATATTTCAGTGTTTACATTTTAAATTGTTTCCATTTTCTTTTCCCTTTTTTTACATTCCAATGTCCTTTTCTTACCTTGTTTTTCCTTTTTCCTTATTTCATTTTTCCATTGTTCCTTTTTTCTTTTTTGTCCCTCTCCATTGTATGTTCCTTTCCCTACATTATCATTCCTTTTCCCTTTCTCATTTCTTTTATTTTTCCCTTTAATTTCCTCTCCATTGTCCTTCCTTTTGCTTTCTTTTTTCTTCTGTTTTTATTCAATTCAATGTTTTTCCTTTTTCAATTTTCAATGTTCCTTTTTTCCCCTCTACATCGTATGTTACTTTTCTTACTTTACCACTCTGTTTCCCTTTCTCTTTCCCTTTGCTTTTTTCTCTTGGCAACATTTGTGTCATTCCTTCCTTCCTTTCACTCCCTCTTTTTTCTGCTCAGAAACACGAAGGTCAGTTGACTGTTCTTCAGCTGGTGGATTTGCTGAGTGGAGTGGCGTCTGGGATGAAGTATCTGACAGAGATGGGTTTTATCCATCGCCGTCTGGCTGCTCACAAAGTCCTGGTGAACAGCAGCCTGGTCTGCAAAGTGTCAGGCTTCAGACCTCTTCAGGACGACAAAATAGAGGCAGTCTACAGCACACTAGTGAGTATTTTACCATAATGCAACACAGCACTCTCAAACACTTCTGAATGAGTTTATCAAACTTTTATGTGATTTTTTTTCTTTCTTGCGAGTACTGAATATGCGGCATATTTTAAGAACGTCTCAGTGCTTCATGCTACATGCTACTTATGATAAGATGAATGCGGAAGTCAGGATACAGTACGGCACAATAAACCTGTCTTTCACCTACACAATACACTCACACCGTGATATCACTTTTTTGTGTTTGCCAATGATGTGTTCCTGAATCAACATTTAATCAACGCTTCTTTTATCCTCTTTCCTTTCCTATCCTTTTTTGCTTGTTTTCCTCTCTGATGTCCTTTCCTATGCAATGTCCTGTCCTTTACTATTTTCCTTTCTTTTCTTTATTTGTCCGTTGTTGCTTTAGAGAATTCTGCCCACCATGAAATCTGTCAAACTGATTTGTGTCATTTGTGCACCAAAAAAAAAGAGATTAATCCAGGAACAAGTCCTATTAGCAAAATCATGGTTACTATTGTTGCCCACTTGTCTGGGCTGGTAATTGAAAGGTTTTGGGTTCAAACTCTTCAAAGAGCAGTTCATGAAGCCTTGAGCAAGTCACTTAACCTCAGGTTGCTTAAGTGGAGATAGTCTCTGTAATTAGTGTGCTGTAAAAATAAAACCTTCTTCACAATGACCACTTACTAATTAGTAGAAGAAGCTATAAGGACTGAGTACATTTGTGTCAGTTTGTTAGAAATAACAGGGTCTGTCTTTCTTTTAGCACGGAGGGAAGAGTTTGGTGTTGTGGACGGCCCCAGAGGCCATTCAGTACCATCGTTACAGCTCCGCTTCTGATGTATGGAGCTTCGGTATCGTCATGTGGGAAGTCATGTCCTTCGGGGAGAGACCGTACTGGGACATGGGCAACCAAGATGTACGTCTGTCCCTTTATATTTCTTCTAATGTATCACCACCTGTGCAGTTCTGCATTGCTTTTCCTCTGGTGTTTCTTTCTTAAACCTTTTCTCTCTTTATCTCTTGCTCTTTCTTTTGAGCGGCTGCTTTTTCTCCTCCTTAAGATCTCCCTAAAAATCATTTTATGTTTGTTTGTGATTTTATATTCTTTTTCTCCCTCCCTCTCTCTTTCCTGCCTCTCGCTGTTGGTAGGATGGGATTTTCCTGTGTGAAGTGAGGAGTTATGCATTTGTATAAAAACTGAAAAGTAGCTAAAGCGAGGGCCTTTAAAGACCCCAGATAAAGAGTGTGTATGCGCGTGTGTGCACTTTGACTTCAAGTCCACTTCAGCTCCGTGTCCAATCAGACTCAGAAGTCTCCTTTTCATGCCTGCAGCAAAGATCCTCATAGTCTCTGAAATAAACCCCGGCTGAAGGACATCACACTTTTTGGTCCCCAGTAATAATGTAGTCTCTTAAAATGTAAAGAAACAACAAAATAAAAATTAAACAAATAATTAAGCTTAGCAAAAAAAAAAAAAAAAAACAGGCAAGGACGCATTTTAAAATACACACTGAAATGACAGATTCAGTATTGAATCAGTATTTACACAAATTTTGTATTAGTCCATGCATAGTCTCTATTTTATTTTATTTTATTTTAATAATATTTCTGTGTGATAATAAGATATGGCTGGAAGGCCAAAGCTGCTTTTCTACTGTGTACATGAGACAAAACACATTTAGAACTGTGAAGTCATTATGAATTAAAGAGCCTCACCATGTAAAGCTTTTAAACAAAAGAGGCCGTCTTTCACTACAAATAGTGAAATGCTCAAATGCTAATGATTGCTGGAGAAAGGCATTAATGCATTTAAAGAATCTTTCATGTTATTCATTTGGTTTAAATAATGTTTGTGTTGTCAAGTGACTTTTAAGTAGTACTTTTATTGAATTAAATGGTATTTAGGATTATCTAATAAAAAAAGATCATATAGGGATGCCAGTCAAGGACACATTTTGAAATACCTACTGAAATGAATGAAATAATAATATAATTTGCTAATTTGTCTCAGATATGGCATTTATTAGTGGCAATTGATTTGAAAGTACACCGAAAACTTCCCGGAAAAGAATTCGGCAATGAGATGTGTTTACAATGGGGACCAAAAGTGAGTTCACACTGAAATCTGTTTTAAAACTGGAAATAAACTGAAGCCTTTAGGTTTGAAAATTTTCAATAAAGAAATGTTATGATGTGAAGAAGAAATGTTTAAGATTCTGCACTATTTATGCGTCACTAATCCATTTATTCCATTACTCCAAATAGTCAATAATTATGTTTTTGTGTTTAAATTTATGTATATTTACCTTACAGGTAATAAAAGCTATAGAGGATGGGTTCCGGTTACCTGCTCCCGTGAACTGCCCGCCGTCTCTGCACCAGCTCATGCTGGATTGCTGGCAGAAGGAGAGGACAGAGAGACCCACCTTCACCCAGATCCACAGCGCTCTCAGCAAGACCATGAGGAGCCCGGACAACATCGGGTCCTCCACCCTGGGACGCAGGTACTGAAAAGCTTCTTATGGTTCCCATCTCCATGCAAATCATCCCTTTTCCACTTTCCTATAAGTGTTTGTTTCTCACTCTGAAGACAGAAATCTCTTTCTGTGTTTGTCAAGGACTCTGGGCTCATCTGTATCACTAGCAGAACGAACAATTCCTTCCTTCCCTTCGTTTAGTTCAGTTGGAGAGTGGTTAGAGGCTGTAGACATGGGCCGCTACAAAGACAACTTCACTGCTGCTGGATACTGTTACCTGGAGTCAGTGGCTCGCATGACAGTTCAGTGAGTGACATTTGAATTAAGTCCCTATAGTGCATTTCTTTTATTCGGTTTGTGTGTAACACGCTCCGTTGTTTTTGCAGGGATGTGTTGAGTCTCGGCATCACCTCTCTGGAGCACCAGAAACAGATCCTGTCCGCCATACAGACTCTCAGAGCGCAGGTTATCCAGATGCACGGCCGCGGAGTGCAAGTCTGACAGACCCACAGCAGTGTGCCGACTCGCCGAGAAAAGACATATGGACGTCTGTTCTCGTAATTACCCAGCAGGCCATTCAGCGGTCAGGAGGTGATAACCAAGTCACTGCAAATGGTAGTTTTCTTCCTAATCTTCGCTCTTTCATTCTTTTAGTGAACACTGGTTCTTTTCTTCCACAAACAAGTTCTTGTTTTCTGAGTGGGACAATGTCACAAGCAAGAAAATCCCTCTAGAATAACCTGTGTGCTGATTTTGACCTGCTTTTGACATGAGCTCTATCCCTTTTAGTAGGACTTTAAGGTGGTCGAGACCCTCCGTCACTGTCCCAGAGAAGGGCGGTTTGACTCTGACCAATCTCAGACCAATCAAAAGGGTGACATGTATTCCTGTTTTCTTTATCCAAGCAAAACAACTCATGCTTTGTAGCCACTGATCCTCCTTGTTAAGTGGACTAAACCAAGAGCATGTCATCCATGACCATTTGCTCCTCAGACTAGGTGAACATCTTCAGGAAATAAGTTGAGTTCTGATGTAAGGAATCTTAAATAATATGTAAATCCCTTTCTCTGTGTGTATTCTTGATTTGGTTACTGTCTACTTTTTTTCTTTTTGCTTTCTTTCCTCCACACTTTAAACTCATTTCTGAATTTCCGAGTTTAAATTAGTATTGTCGGACATCTGTACTTGTAATGTTCTTTTCTCGTTCTGTCTCCTATAGGGACAATGTTTGCACTGCAGTGTCCATGACTTACAGAAGCTTGTACTATATTTATTAGATGATTTATTTATCCGTTTACAGATGCTTACTGAAGTTTGAATGCAGAAATATTGTTTGAAAATGGAAAACATAGCACTGAATCTGGACGTTCAGCTGTCATTTCATCAAAATGCACTTCGATTTTGTTTATGTAATTTCATTTTTTCCCTGCACTTTGAAAGTGAGTGAGTGAATGTGACTGGGATGTATACACACATATACATTCACACATTTACAGACTTTCATTACACGCTGCAACGGCAGGTGCCCGATACTCTCGGACATGTACTTGATATTGGCGTTTCGTACAGCGGAAGTGGTTGTTCTTTAGCGAGAATGTTCTGAATGTTCTAGTGTTACTGAATTTAGACTATTGTGTGACGTGAGCGTGTGAACAAGACTTGGTTGGGTTTAAGCAGTATTGAATGAAAGCCTAATTCAGAACATTTACAGTTTGATCATAGAAATAGGTCGGTGCAAATCACATAAAAAAAGACCGTGACACACAGGTTGGATCTGGATTTTGTCACAAATACATATAGTACAAAACAAATGACTGGTTTTTTTTCTTATGTTAGGTTGTTCTTGATTTTTAGGATATAAACAATTAAAGGGTTTTGGAATTTAACGATAAGAGCATCATTTTCACTCTGTTTTACAGTTACACACATACAGAGATGCACATTTATCATTATTGCAGCCATATCATATCTGAACATGGCGCAACCCCAATTAATGATCACTTCAAAATGTAAAGGACAGAGACATGATGTACTGTACTGTTTAACAGCCCTTTACCGAATAAGACTCGATTCCCCCTTTGCATTAAGTGTATCATTCTGATCTCTGTTTGATACTGTAAATATGTATTTGAAAATGCAATCTATTTTTATAATTTGTTTGAATAATAATGTGTTGAATGAGATCCTCTCACTGTGTTGAAATGACTTACTGTTTCAATTAGGCGAGTCGCGGAAAAAAGTTGTTTGAAATCATCCTTTTTTTTTTTTTTTCGGTTGGAATTTTTCATGATTTTTACCTGTTAGAAAAACAGATGGCTGTTGCAATATTGAAACATGTTATTAAAAAAATACAATACAGGTACCCTAGACTTTGTGTTTGCTCGCGGTCTTCGGGCTTCCAGCGTACCTGCCTGAATTCATACACGCATTGGAGTCTATTTTAATCATGTGTAATCAATGTCGAGGCACAGCAATCAAGCGTTTCCCATCAGCTTTCAACCCCCGGAAAAACAGCGGGAAGCAAAAAAGTTGTTCTTTGTTCTGTATTTTTATCAAAAGGGTTATTTTTAATAAATTATTTTCTTTCCAGCTAGATAATTTTTGTATGAAAGTGACAGGATGAAATTACACCAGAGTATTTATTATCATTTCATGTTGTTATGTCTTTCCCACTGTTAGTTATCTAATCCTGATTCTTTTGTTAAATATTAAGTCGTCATTCATTCCAAGCGATTTAAAAATGTCTATGAGCTTTAGTGGATCCAAGTGCTCATATCAATAATAATTCGAAGGGTTTCAATTCTCTCCTTTCACATTTCTTAGTACTAAAAAAATCCCTTGGAGATAATAATGGGGGAGAACTGAAAATACACCAGGTAATACTTCAACTCCCAGAAGTGAGAAATCAAGGCTCAAGTGTGTGTGTGTGTGTAAGGGAGTGTATACATGCTTTTGTGTTCAGATTAAAAGACTCTTCTGTAAGAAGCAAGAAGGGTCCACCACTAAGCCGGTGTGAAGGGGAAAGTTTCCAAATACAAAAGTTTGATCCAAGCAGTAAGTGTCAGACCTCAAATCGGATTTGGGAAATTAATCCGGATCGGGAGCAAGTGTGAACAAACAAAGTGTAGTGGGGCTTGAACCAGCCTCTCTCCGGGAGTAGGCCTATGTCGTCTCTCGAGGTCCAAATACCGCTTTATAAACTGAGTTCAGTTCATTCACTGAGGATAGAGACGTCAAAGTTGTGTGAGTGTATTTAAGTGACAAACAGCCAGTTCTGTTCTGAGGAGGGCCACATCAAAAGAGCAGATGTACAGTGTGTTCTGGAATTCCTGCTGGGCTTTTAGTGGCTTTAAAGTGAACCATGATTAAATGCTCTAGGAGGTTAAAACTCTAAAAACCAATAATTATTATGCATTAATCTTGATTGACGTGCTTGATTGAAGTAAATAGAAATGTTCTTGTGTGTATTTATATAACCTATACACATACAAATTATATATACTGTATATATATTTTAGTGGCTTTCTTACATCAATACGCCCGTAGATGTAGGCTACGTTGCTGTCTTCGTGAGTGAGTCATCAAATCGATTCGATCATTAGCAATTCCTTCAAAACACTGATTCAAGAACAACATTTCTGAATTAGCCTATAGAATATAGCTTACCATTATTTCCACTTAGTGTCAAAAATAGTAAAAGTAGGGGTGCTTCCCAGTAAAGTATTGTTCATAAATCTTTATGATGTCAATACAGATGTTCTTTTTAATGAGCTGTTTTGAATCAGAAGTAGTGATGCCAGATTCGCGAAAGCATTACTCTTGATCTAATCGGTCAAATGGGTTTGCAAAAAAGTTTTAAAAATTATGACCGTTCACTCACTCACTGGATCGTTTGCAGCGGTTTCTCACACCGAAATACGGGATATTTTATAAGACAGAAAACAAAAAGAGCGCTGAATGAAGTGGATATTTACCTACAATCCACTGTAGAAAACAAAACTCGTGTGTCTCATAGTTTGTCAACGATGAAGCAGCTCTTTTGCGTGCACGTGTAGCATGTGAACGACTCCGTACTGCAGGTAAAGATCCAAGACAGGTTTAAAAATTATTTTATATATTTTTTTACAAGTTAAAATTTGGGCACACTTTGCTGGTGGCCAGTGCACTCACTACTGATGAAACGCTAGATGCAGTTCTGAATTCAGCCAATATAATTGTTTCCCCATTTGAGTTTCTAAATTGATATTGTTAAAAAAAAAAAGTTCTGAATTCAGCCACTTTCTTCATGAAATGAGTATTTGAATCATCCGATTCGTTTGGAAGTAGACAAAAGGTAACTTCAATATTGGTATTCTAAAATGTGAGGGG